CAAAAACGAAGTCCAGTTTGACCCCGAACCATCTGTGCCGAGCCCTGACCTGTGACCCAGCCACAATTTTTTGTGTGGGGAAGGAGTTTTTGACTGACCTCTGTTCTCACCTACCAATTTCGATTTTCTGTCAACAGTATTTGATAATTGTGCCTTGTATGGTTAGCCTTATAGAAGTGTTTTTTACTTTCTAAGTTTCTTTTCAGCAAGGGACTAAAAATTTTTGTGGAATGCATAAATCATAAGCTGAGAAGTTACGATGATTTCTTAAAAATGTGGCATCTTATGCTCAAAACTGATAGAAATCATAATGTTAGTTTGTTTACATATAAGATGGTTTTATGGTTTTTCGCGACAAGCTAGATATATCTAACAAAGATGCTGAGAACATTTTTCTGGTGGTGAAAACGTTTCAGATAAAAGTTTGATTTTCTTTTGGTTGGTTGTTACAAATGAATTTCAAAAGTGTTAATCAAATGCTCAATCATGAAACTTTTCAGAGACGATCTTCTCTACAAGGTCATACAAGAAGGCATTGTCTACGGCCTCATTGTGTATGGTCTACCCATATGTCTCCTCTTATGGCTAAATCTGAACATAATTCGCCTGATAAGAGGGGAGCAGGTTGGTCGACTTCTCACATGCGTTTTGGCCAAGAAACATTCAAAAAGATTTTCGTTCTTTTTAGCTTCATGTACAAGCATCACGTCGATCAGCCGAATATCGCACTGCTCTAATGACGGTGTTTGTGTTCGTCTTTTTCTTCTTATGCACAACTCTTTCAGCATCAATAAGACTTTTCATGTGAGTTCTTTGTCATATTCGATCGTCTGAGAAATGTATAAGTACGAAATGTTTAGGATAACTGCTGGAGGACTAGTGGATCCCTTAGAGCTGGTATGGCTGGTCGATCTTTCAAATCTTTTGATGAACATCAATGCGCTAATAACTCCAGTTATCTGTTTTATTTTCACCAGGGGATTCAAGGTAAGTCAAGCACAGACTCCACCAACTTTAGATACTTAATGATACGTCATTTTTCAGGATCTTTTCTTTGTCATCAGATTTGCCCCTCCAAAAGGTTCATTTGACGAAAAGGACTTCAATCGACAGTTTTCTCCCATGCTACCATCAGAGTATCGCAATATTTCGTAGTCTCTTACTTGTTTTATCATCATTAATATCACTCAATGGCAAAAATTGTGATCTCATGTATTGTGCATATATTTCTGCTTATAAAGTTGTTACCTGTACGTGTACTTCTCAAAGGCACCGTACACAAGAAAACACTTTTATGTTTCTGTCATTCCGGGATATTTCCATGGCCCTCTTTACAGCTATGAAGTTCAAAATGTGCAAACTATACTTGGGTCCGAATCGAATAGAATTTCGATCATTC